GTTTCGATATTGCAGTATTCTAAAATTTTTTACCTAATACTAGAAAGATGTCGAAAAAAAGTCTCGAAATTTTCTAAAACTCTTTTTTTTGTGTGGTTCTAGATTGTTTTCTTACATTATTTCCCAAGTCTCTAACAAGAAAAAAATTTACAACATTGTTTCCTAAAGTCCCTGGAATTCTGAGATATTTGTTATAATTATACATTCTTGAAAGTCCTTCTTGTAAGAAGCTGACATTTTATTCCAAAAGATATTACAATAAAGAAAAATAAATACCTTATAAATATTTCAAATAAATGATTAAAATTTTTCTTATAAATGAGTTACAAATAGTAGTTTCGTTAACTTGTAATTATTACTATTATATTGATGTCGGTTTACAAAAAAATTAGTATAAGGAACAAATTTTCATTTTTCTAAATTATTTTCAATATTTGTAAAAAAATGTGATTCTTATTATAATTTAATTATATATGGAATTATAATTAAATAGACAGATACACATCATTGATATACGGAGAAAAAGATTCTGGTAAAATCGCCTTACTTGTCCAGTTCTGGTATTTTTGGTAAAGCAGTAAGAAAAAAAAAAAATTGGCGATAAAACCAAACTATACATCATTTAAACCATTCATTTGGTAATTTTTTCCGCTCGCATGATTTTAGCTAAAAGGAAATTCTGGTTTTTCTAAATTATAGTTCTTATTGCTGCACATTTAGTAAAAATACGAAACTAAAAGGTAAACTTAACCAAATAAATGGTTTGTATGCCATGCTGTAAAGTTATTACCAAATTCTACCAAATTTCTACCACATTTACTACCAAACAGCATAGTAAAAGAAACCCATATTTATGCCAAATTTATCATAAGATCACCAAATCCCTTTGGTAAAAATTACCTTACTTTTTGGTGTTCCCATAAAGCTAGAAATACAAATAATAGTTTTGAAATAGTATAGTAGTTTTGTAATAATTAGTAATTTTATCATATTCTGGTAGTTTTGTCCGTACTTTTGTACTTTTCTTTCTCAGTAATAGCATCTGTAAATATTATTGAATTAACGTGAATTAAAAGTTTTTTATGAAAAATAATTTTCTAATAAAAATTTTAATTATATTTATTAATTTTAATTAAATAATAAATCATATAATAAATTTAAAGGTATATTTATCACTTAAAGGTAATACCGTTAGATAATATGTGGTATTTTTTTTAAAAGTTAATAATAAGGCATAGCTTGAATCACTGTTAAAGTAACAAAACTCTCGCTAACAAAGTGCAATTTAAAGAGCAATTTGAAACTTCTCACTGAATCCCTACATAACCTGAAAACTTAATAAAAATAACTGTTTTGCTAACGAGGTACCACATTCTATAGAATACTAAAATCCAACATTAAAGTATAACTTCAACCCGAGCTTACAAATGCTTAGAATGCTAAGGCATCAAGTTACGAAATTCTTGAAGACCCTCCGCGGCATGCTGCCGTTCTTTCAGCAGCCAAAACTACGCCAAATATTCTCGGTAATTGCTAATGAAGTACTCTACGCTCAATTAACCGTTTCCCGTTACAGAGAATGCGTGAAGAATCGGTTAAAATGAACCGAAAGACTTGAAAAGAAAAATGTCACTCTATCAGATGGGCGAGAAACGGGAAGAAGAAGAGATAGCAGTTACGAAGCATGTGTGGCTGTGCAGTTTAGATGTCCTGATGCTATCTTAACCCCATTACCAAAGACTTGTAAACAGAACATAATGAGTAATTAGTGGCATTAATCCAGAGTTTGTAGTTTAAACTATTGATACTGCTTGTTGAGTTAGGAGTAAAAGAACTAATTCTGACTGCAACTGTGGAAAAAAAACTTTTAAAACTTCTTTTGAAAACAAATGTGAAAAACAAAAATTGCTCAAGACATTTTCAAGAGCAATAGTACATAAGTTTTAGAGAATACAGAGGATAGAATGAGAAATTTTGTTAATGTTGTATAGGTTTTATAATGTTTTTATTTATCATAATAAGGTTGACATGAAATGTAAATTTCATGAGCAATACTACATAAGTTTTAGAGAATACAGAGGATAGATTGAGAAATTTTGTTAATATTGTATAGGTTTTATAATGTTTTTACTTATCATAATAAGGTTGACATGAAATGTAAATTTCATGAGCAATACTACATAAGTTTTAGAGAATACAGAGGATAGATTGAGAAATTTTGTTAATATTGTATAGGTTTTGTAATGGTTTTACTTATCATAATAAGGTTGACATGAAATGTAAATTTCATGAGCAATACTACATAAGTTTTAGAGAATACAGAGGATAGGTAGAGAAATTTTGTTAATGTTGTATAGGTTTTATAATGTTTTTACTTATCATAATAAGGTTGACATGAAATGCAAATTTCATGAGCAATATTACATAAGTTTTAGAGAATACAGAGGATAGATTGAGATATTTTGTCAATGTTGTATAAGTTTTATAATGTTTTTAAATATCATAATAAGGTTGACATGAAATGTAAATTTTTAAAGCTTTTTAAGATCTTTAAGACTTTTTTTGAAAAAAAAAGTGGAAAATTAAAGTTGCATAAGTAATTTTCAAGAGTAATGCTAGAGAATATGGAGGACAGAGTGAGTAATTTTGTCAATGTTGTATCGGTTTCATAATGTTGTTACACATCATAATAAAATTGGTATAAAATGTAGATTTTTCAAATTTTTTGAAGCATTTTAAAACATTTTTTAAAAAAAAGGGGAAAACAAAAATTTGCAGAAGACATTTTTAAAAGCAATATTACATAAATTTGCTTTAGATAATACAGAGGATAGATTGAGATATTTTGTCAACGTTGTATAGGTTTTATAATGTTTTTATACATCATAACAAGGTTGACATGAAATGTAAATTTTTGAAGCTTTTTAAGATCTTTAAAACTTTTTTTGAAAAAAAGAGTGGAAAATTAAATTTGCATAGGTAATTTTCAAGAGTAATGCTACATAACTTTTTTAGAGAATATGGAGGACAGAGTGAGTTATTTTGTCAATGTTGCATCGGTTTTATAATGTTGTTGCACATCATAATAAGGTTGGTATAAAATGTAGATTTTTCAAATTTTTTGAAGCTTTTTAAAACTTTATTTGAAAAAAAAGTGAAAAACAAAAATTTGCAGAAGACATTTTTAAAATCAATACTACATAAATTTGTTTTAGAAAATATAGAGGATAGATTGAGATATTTTGTCAATGTTGTATAGATTTTATAATGTTATAACACATCATAATTATGTTGGCATAAAATGTAAAAAACTATTGATTCCTCGACCTCGCGTGATTAATCTTGGGGTCGTGGGACCCGTACTTAGTGAAATTATTTTTTGAACTTTTGTTACTGCTTGTTGAGCTAGGATCAGAAAGCTAGTTTTGATTGCAGTTGTAAAAAATAAAGCTTTTAAATTCTTTTTTGTCCAAAATACACGAATTTCACTTGAAATTTTCTGCAACAATACTAAAGAAATTTTGTTTAAGAGAATGTTCAGAACTTTTTTGTTGAGATATCTTTTCAATTAGTTTCACAGTAATTTAACCTATCATAATGAGACTGATATAAAATGAAGTTAACTATGGGTTCCATGGCCACAAGACAGGCCACATCTTTGAGTCGTGGAACCCGTATTTAGTTGCATTAATCGCGAATTCATTAAAGATTTTTTTGGGCCAAAAAAAAAAAAAGCAACAAAAAAGTTTCACTTGAGATTCTTAACATAAATACTATGCGAATTTCGTTTTAGAGAATGTTAAAAATTTATTTTGAGATATCTTTTCATTGTTATGCTGATTTTATAATATTTTAACACATCATAAAAATGAGACTAATATAAAATGTCGATTACTACGGGTTCCATGGTCACAAGGAGTTAATCTTGGAGTGTTGTGTAACTCGTACTTAGTGGCATTAATCTTGAATTAATTTTTTTAAACTATTGATACGGTTTGTTTAGTTAGGATTAAAAAAGCTAGTTTTGATTACAGCTGTAAAAAATAAAGCTGTAAATAATAAAAACTGTTTTAACAAAAACACGGAAAACAAAAATTGCATGTCCAATTTTCAACAGCAATACTATATGAATTTTGTTTTGGAAAATATTAAGAACTTATTTTGAGATATCTTTTCAATGTTACATAGGTTTTATAATATTTTAGCACGTCATTCTGAGACTGATATAAAATGCTGGAAACTATGGATTCCATAACCTTAAGGCATTTATCTTAGGGTCATGAGGCCCGTAGTTACTAACATTAATCAAGTTTTTATTTTTTAAACATTTTATACTGATTTTTGAATTAAGAATAGAATAGGGAGTAGTTGTGACAACATCTCTTCAGAACTTTTTTTGGAAAAAAAGCAAGAAAAATAAAATGTGCACTTAAAATTTTCAATAACAAAATAACTAATTTTGTTTCAGAGAATGTTAAAACTTGATTATTGAGATATTTTCAGTATTACATTGGCTTTATAATATTATAAAACGTCATAAACAGACTGACTAAAAATGCAGATTACTACGGGTTTCAAGACTTATAATTTTCTCTCTTGTTTTTGCATTAAACATAATTCATAAGAAATTGCTAGTGTAGTAACTCAAGCACTTTTATTTGTTTGAGTTTGGCGCAGTATCGCCACTTCTAACTCTTGTTAAGTTGGCTGTGTGGCGTGGTTTTAATTAGTTCTGCCTGTACTCTTGCTTCACTAAGATTAACTTTTCTAGCTAATTCTTCCCCAACAAATGCATCAGGGTAATGAGTCCTTTCAAAAATATTTTCTAAAGCATTTTCTAAAGCTTTTCTAAAGCATTAATAATTTACCTGTACTCTTGCTTCATTAAGATTAACTTTTCTAACTAATTCTTTCCTAACAAATGCGTCATGGTAATGAGTCCTTTCAAAAAGCTTTCCTAAAGCATTTTCTAAAGCTTTTCTAAAGCATTAATAATTTACCTGTACTCTTGCTTCACTAAGATTAACTTTTCTAGCTAATTCTTCCCTAACAAATGCATCAGGGTAATGAGTCCTTTCAAAAATCTTTTCTAAAGCATTTAGTTGATGAGTTGTAAAAGTCGTTCGATTTCTTCTTGGTTTTTTTCTGTGATTTTCACCTTCTCCAGATTCATCTGAAATGGTAAAACAGAAATAAGTTACTGTGTATTTATCGAAATAAACAAGAATGAAAATAGTATAAATTGAAATCAGAAGTGTTGAGAAAGAGTGCTCGATATGTAATTAAGAAAAAATCTCCAGATCAAAACAAAAATCAGAAAAAAATTAGAAAAAAAAATCTTTGGATCGTTACAATAGGTTTTTGGTAGTATCGTTATACAACTTTTCTGAAATAATCTAAATGTTTATTAATTGATATGGCTGCTTTCGTTGTTGCAAATATTTGTTTGCAACAGCGAAACATTTGTTTGTAGTTTTAGTAACATTTGTTTTGATCACTGCAACTCTACAGACTTCACGTGTTCATCTTTACAGTTGAAAACGTTTATTCAACCCTCTAGGAATTATGACAAAATATAACTACTCACTCATGCTCCGGTTGAAAAACAGCTAGTTGATACTAACATCAACATTTATCCGAAAAAAAGAGGCTTATCATATCATGAACATTCCCATTTAACAGAAAAAAAGCTTAGCACATTAAAAACATCGCCATTTAAGAGAAAAAAAAGGCTTTGGATATTATAAACATTGCTATTTATCAGAAAAAATGGCTTATCATATTATAAACTTCACCATTTAACGAAAAATCGCTTAGCATATTATAAACATGATCTAAAAAACCGTTTTAATAATTGAAAACAATGGCTCAAAAGAAGCGCAATAAGGTGATTAATTCACATAAAATAAATTTTTAAGCTATTAGAAGTTACAAAATTAAGTTGAAAGAGTAAAAATCACAATTTTTCTTAAGTGCTGGCTTTCTAAAGTGCTTTTTGAAAGCGCTGGCATTGATAAAAAACTAGCTTACTCTGTTTTTCATGCTTCTCCAAATATCATGGTGTCTGTCTTTAATTAGTTCAATTTGATTTCTGATAACTGGAAGTATTAGTTTAGTTAGAAATGCCGGATCTTGGTTTTATTCACTTGGTTTTGCCCAACTCTACCTTTTTTTAAAATTTTTTCAAAATGCAACAAAAAATTATGATTGTTGCGTTTTTCAAATCCTTTGTGCAGTGAGAGTAAGTAGGAATTCCAAAAATTTCTTCAAAATGTCTAGAAAAACTGCGTAAAAATAATGATGTATTTTAAAAATCTTGTGAATCAAGAATATTAATATTTTCAGATTAAATAATTTTAGCCACTGCAAAATATCATTTTTATATTAATGACTGGTAATTAATGATTTTTAACTAAACCGTAACCGTAATGATTTTAAATTTAATGATGATTTTTAACGATAAATGATTTTTAACTAATGATTTTAACTTGAACGATGATGATTAATATTTCGTACCTTACGTTATCTACCGAGATCAAGCATTTAACGTGATTATTCTAAAACTTCAATGAACTTTTTGTAGAAACGTGTATTTTTCTGTTGTTAAGCTTACTATTTCTCTAAGACAGTTTCTTTCGGAAAATTCTAATTTTTAAAATAGTTTTTTATACTTTTCTGTAAATTTTTGCTGACTTGGAACATTCCGTCTAATTGGAAGGAAAATTATCTTCATATCATCAAATTAATACAGAAACTATTTTTTTTTATTTAATTCGACTAAGCCTTATGTAGATTTTCTTTATTTCCATTTGATTATTTCTTGAAAAAAAGATAAGAATTGAAAAGCTTATCTATTCTTTCTCTTTACTTAAATAAGCAATTAAAATGTTTGCCTCTCTATTATGAGATGAGAGTTAAATTTTTTTAAAACATAAATGTAAAATTTAGCACCTTTGCCAAAAAAGCCGAAAAAGTCATCTCCTTTTATCTCATGCTCAGACTTATTCAAATATTAAGTAACGAGTAAATTTATTGAAACACTTAATCAATCTGTAACACTAAAATAAATTCCGAATCAAAGTGAGGTTAAAAGTACCGACACTCAGGAAGTCATTACATTTCACCATATAATTCATATTTTACCTTAAATTTTACGGAACAAAAAATCTAATATTTTTATAGTTATATTTATTGAAAAATCACTGGATCACTGAAATTAAATGAACATAACTGCAAAAATAATGGCATGAAATTTTGTGATAAAAATGGATTTTACGGATTTAATGGATTTTTTTCCCAATTAGCAATTTTTCCTTTCGTATGGTAATGGTTTACCTGAAATTCAGGTTTAATAAATTCTTTTAGCTCTTATTACCACACATATATTTAGTAAAAATTCAAAATTGAAAAGTAAATTGAACCGAATAAATGGTTTTCATGCTATGCTTCAAGGCATCATTATGAAATTACTAAATTAACAATCAAACAGCAAGATAATTAAATCATATTTTATTTTTTACTTTAACAATATTCATTGTTAAAGCACTTTGGTAAAAATTGCCAAGCTTTTTGATGTTCCCATAGATTCAGAAATAAGGTAAACTTTACCATGTGCTGAACTTTTTTCTCATTACGCTTTCTTAAATTCCACTTTAAAATATGGTATAAAATAATTAATGAAATGAAAATCTTCTAATAAGAGATACATAAATATTTTTCAAATTTTTATTAAACTAATTTTTTTAATGAATTACATAAAAACAAATGAAATTATTCAGCTTATTAAAGAACATCCAATAATAACACTGCAATGAATTTAAAATTGAATTTAATGTATTAAATTTTTTAAATAAAAATTTTTGACTTCAGCACCAGTTTATTGTGCTGCATTTAAAAATAAATATCTTTCAACTTAATCAGAAATTGTTTTAAGATAATTTGAAATTTAATAAAACAAAATTTATTTAGAATTTGTTAGCATCTTGATATTATTAAACTTCAATTTCCTTTTTACTTTTGCTTTTAACGTTTTATTTATATTTGTTTCTTTAATTTAAATAAACATAAAATGCTAATTGCAACTTTCTTAAATTTAAATATTTAGTATGCAAGAATTAAATTATGTAGGTAATCATACAGCTCTTTTTTGTTTCTTTTGCTTAATTTTCTAAAATATTTCGATAGTATTATGTAATCTTTTAGTAATCATTTTAAATTTTATTGATAATTTGAATGGTCTAACTTTATTTATAACTAAATTGAAATGTAATAAAGCACAAAAGATATAAATTTTTCAAATGGTTTTAATAACAAAATAGGTTTACCAATTTTTAACTTTTATGCGTATAATAATATAAAGTTATGCGCATATTAATTATGCGTGTGTTAATATAAATTTTTATGCGTATTTGAAAGAAAATGAATTATTACTCAACTACTTTTAATAAAAGTTCAAATCGAAGTAATTGTCATATGACATCGGAAAATCATTTTAGATTAGTGTCATTTTAACATTAATTAAGAATCAAATAATGATTTTGGAATGATTGTGGTATCGTAGTTTTTATTTTGAAATAAATAAGTAATAATGGAATTAAAAATGAATTATAGCTTTTTGAAAGTGATTTCATTCTTATAAAAAGTATTTTTAATGAAAGTATGGCTCAATAGAGTTTAGTTTTCTGATCTTGCTTTAATCTAAAATTATGGCTATATTATAGAATTTTGTATTTTATTTATTAAAACTAATAACTTTTTTTTTCGTTTTGTTAAACAGTTTTTTTTAATTTTCATGTTACAAAGATATTATCTCTTTTTATTCTTTATGTATGGATATAATTTTTTTAAATTTCGCTTAACAAGTGAAAATATAAAAGAAGAAAAATAGAGAAAATTAGTTAATCCTGATAGTTTTTTAGATAAAGGAAAAAAATGTTTAATAAAAGGAAATATTTTTAAATATTTTTTGTGCATTCATAAATGTGGAGAATAACTTTGGATTATTTCAGGTGCGTCTTACAATTTGTGGTATTTGAAAATCCCCCAATTGTGCTCTTTAATTGCATACGAAATCATTGTCATTATTTTTAGTGATATACATGTTTATATTGAAACTTTGTCACGTATAGTTAGAACCAGGATTCGAAAGAATAATTAATTTTTTACCAAAAAAAAATGGAAAAAATATTAAACGTTTTTATTTAAATATATTATGATCTTTTAACCAAAAATTAATAAAAAATTTAAATATCTTCTGGATCTTATGATCTTTCCTATGCGAAAAGAAGTGGCAATTAAGAAGTGTTTGCGACAAAAATCTAAAGTTTAATTAAAACATAGAAAATATAAATTTCCGAACAAAAATGCGGAAACTGAACGTAACGTGAAATTCTATTTAAAAACACTATAATCATTTCTCTTAAAATTATTTAAATTGCAACTACAGCACATTTATTTTTTTTTGAGTTATTAAGTGAATTATTTATATACACTTAATATTATATATAGATATTAAACATATACATATATAGATATCAAAGAAAATTATTTTTTTACAGAATAAAGAAAGAGAAAATATAAAGAGTTAAATATTTATATTTTTCTGTATGATCTTTTCTAAACGAGTAGAGCTAACAATAAAAATGCATTTGCCGCTAAAATCATAAGTTTAATTGAAATATAGGAAATATGTATTTCCGAACAAAAATACAGATATAGAGCTTATGGAATAAAGTAAAATTTTATAAATATTTACAATACTGTTTATTATACTGACTATTGATAAAATATACTTTGCGTGAAAAGGATTAGCTTTCGAAAATGGAAAACAAAAGCGCTATTTTAATTTCTAAAATGTTTGCAAACTGTAAAAAATCCCGGATCAAATTACAGTAAAACGTACTGGCACTCAGTGTTCCAGTACCTTTTAGAATGAAATCCATTTTTTTAAATCTAATTTACTAGAATTTTTACAGTAATATTTACTGTAAAATCATTGAATCACGGAAATTAAATAAATATTACTGTAAAATCACAGTACAGAATTTTTACAGTAATATTTACTGTAAAATCATTGAATCACGGAAATTAAATAAATATTACTGTAAAAATTACGCGAGAAAATTTGACGTTAAAATTTTTTTTTTACTATAAAATGGACTTCATGGATATTGC